AAAAAAAAAAAAAAAAGACAACAGATACAATTTATTTGATCGTATAGAACCAGCTTTTGTAATCTACATATATTTAAATGAAGTAATATAGTTATTTTGATCTTTTGATCTAATAAAATTCAGATTATTAAACTATTTTTGGGCCTGTGAGATGGCTCATTGTAAACCTGCTGCCAAGCCCGAGTTTGAGCCCATGTGAGGGAAGGAGAGAACTAATTCCCCTTTGACCTCTATACACACATACACTAAATAAACAGATAAAATGTGGTTAAACTATTTTAGCTATTAATAATACTTATTTTTAAGTGAACCCTTCAAAGAAGCATATGAAAATTCAAACAGTGTAAAAGTGTTAAAGTTTGTGTGAAACCCCACACCTTACTAACTTTACCTAGCTTTTTCGGAATCATCTTGCCAGCAGAGGTGGCAAGTGCTTACTGAGCATTCTTTGTACCAGGCCTGCCTGCTCTTTGGTGCTAGAAATGGAACCGAGGGCCTAGTGCATCCTGGGCCCCTGCAGCTTTGTGAAAGGAAGCTCCACAGGCTGTACATATGAAACATGTTGTATGACAGACAGTTCTGTGTCTGTCTGTCAGGGTGGAGAATTTCTAGTTCTGTCATCTTACAGAACAGTACATATTTGTTACACGTGAGATGTTTAAACCAATGTAAGTTACTGAAAGTGTTTTTCTTCATAAGCTAGGAAGTGACCTTACAAGCTAGTTGTTATTTAGACTCCTTTAGATCAGTGTTTGGAGAATCGCTTTTTTTTTTTTTTTCCCCCCTCCGGTCTTTTTGAGACAGGGTCTCCCAGCTGGCTTAGAACTCTCTATGTAGACCAGGCTGGCTCTGAACTCACAGAGATCCACCTGCCTCTGCCTCCGAGAATAGCTTTTTATGAGGCGCATTTTCTCCTCTCCATAGTGTTCTTAAGTGGGGTGGGAATATTCTGGATCTGATCTTCTAGAAGCAGAGGCTGCTGTATGTGGGCCCCTTGCCACTCCTTCACCAGGTGGCTGAGGATGTCCTGGGAAGATCTGTAAACAGTTTATTATGAGCTACCATGTAAAAGGATAGTATCTATTCCTAGAAGTTGTTGGAGGGCAGCTTCGCTGAGCTGTGGCTCTCCAGGAGAGGCCCGGGCTCATTACCTGGAAGAGGCTTCTCTCCAGAGCTGGGGAAAGCTAACTGGAAGGCTGGGGCTGGCAGGTTACTCTGGCTCTTAAAATTAATTCTTTGATTTCATTCTAACAAAGACTTCAATTGTGTTATGTCTGTGTGCCTCTGGGTGCGTGTTTTCTTTTTTTGATATATTTGAGACAGGGTCTCACTGTGTTGCCCATTAACATAAAAGGAAAAAAATGGCCTGTGATTGGATGAGTCCCTGCTTGGCCTGCAGGCTGAGTCCCTGCTTGGCATAAGGTGCAGGTACAGAGTGGGGACATGAATTCCGGCCTGCAGAAGCTTAAATTCAATGATGAATCTACAGGACTAGTTGTAGGCCCCAGAACTGAGCAGTGTCCTAAGCATTTGCTAACCAGGGAGGAGATTCAGGTTACTTATTTGGGGCGGGGTGGGGGGCAGGGAACAGTGTCGTGCACTGTTCTGAGGTACTGTGTGGCAGGAATCCTGGACTTCCTGAATATAAGGCAAGAGTTCTGCTACTGAGCTATGCCCTCAGCACCGGTCTTTTTTGTTGTTTTGAGACAGGATCTCTCTGTAGCCCCAGCAGGCCTGGAATTCACTTTGTAGACCAGGCTGGCCTTGAACTCACAGGTATCCCTGCCTCTGCCTCCAGAGTGCTGGGATCAAATGTATGCACCACCTTATCCAGTGCCTAGGCCGTCTTTTAAAAGGCCAGTCTTGTGGATTGAAGGCTTTTGTCATGCAGGGACCTCCTGCTGAGCACCTATCCACTTCAGAAGGCTCTTGAGTTATGTCAGCTACCCCCTCGGGTCTCAGCCACCCCCTCGTCCCCCCCACATGCACACTTAGCCACCCCTTCCAGTGTTTTCTGCCTGCTTTAGCTGGCTAGTAGACCAAACTGGGGAAGGAATTTAGCAGAATCCAGGATGTCCTGACACACTTTTGAGGACAGCCCCAAAGGTTCACCCTCTACAAATCTGTTAAACTCAGAGCTTGCCTAATCAGGTGCTAGCATCCTGAGGGTAGAGAGAACTAGTTAGGGGGAAAGAGGAGCCCAGGAATCAGCCTGGTTTCTGCTTTTGTAAATCAGGTAGGGGAGGAACCAGCCACACCTACTTGTTTATTGTCTCTGCCTGCTTCTAACACATGATCCAAAAACCCTGAGACTTTTACTGTCTTCAAGTTCCAACTCCTCTCCTAGTACCATAGGGCAAGTCAGTCAGTCCCCCAGCCTGCTTCAGCTTAGAATCAACCCCAGTGGGGTAGGTGAACTGTTTACACCAACTCTGACTCTGACAGTTTGCTGTCAGTTGCATTTGTCGGTTCAGCTGGAGGCTGTGGCAGTGTTGGCCAGAACGGATGAGCTCAGAGATAGACAAAGGTACCTTCCTGTGGGGACAGAGTGTCTCCAGGTAAAGGAGACCTGGTCTGATTGAATTTACTAGCATATCTAAAGAACATGTGACTGTCCGGGAGGATTGGCCAACCCTGGGAACACTGAGAGGCACAGACTGG